CTGTCCACAACAGATGCGGTGATGCGTTGTTCGGGAGTGAGGACGACGACAGCAAGTTGTGCAGCATGACAGCATGGTCCATTGCTGCAGGCCACTGGTGGTTGGGTAGCCGCATGCCACGTAGCAGTTTGCGCATGCTGTTCTGTAAGGTCCTGTTCATTCTTTCTGCAACACCTTGCTTCTGATGGGCGTAGGGAAGGGAGAGGAGTTGCTTGATTCCTCTTTCCGCCAGGTACTGCTTGAAGCGCTGAGAGGTGTATTCTCCTCCTCCGTCTGACTGGAAGCTTTTCAGCTGTGTTCCCGATTCTCTCTCTGCTACTAGTAGCCAGGCGGCGAATGCTGCGAGTGCCATGTCGCGGCTGGGTAAGTTTCGGTGCCAGACGTATCGAGTGGCGGCATCGATGAAGGTTATCGTGTAATTGTAGGTAACTTGTCCTGGTTCTCGATTGAAGAGAATATCGCTGTACACCTTCTCGAATGGTGCGTACGCGGGTGTGCTCGGGTTGTGGTGAGAAGTAAACGGTCGATGTGGTAAGTCGGCTTCGGGGCAGATGAGGCAAGTTCCTTGTGCCCGTTGAAGTTCTCTGCCGTCAGGTAGTAGTAGCGAATCCTAGTCTAGGACTCCTGCTCGTATTGTATTATTTAATACTGTGTTGCTCGGATGTCCTGTGCGTGCATGCCAGATGTCTTCAGGAGCGCGATGTCCGGGTGAGCGTTGATACGCGTCGGAGTTGGAGTAGAAGCTGGCGACGAAGTTAGCGCTTCTGTGGACTTCTTGTTGAGTCGGGTTCAGCTGCTGTGCGGGTGTTGGTGGTACTTCGTCGACGAAGACTGGTGTCGTTGGTCCTGCTGCTGCCGATGATGTTTCTGCTGCTGCCGATGTTGTCTCTGCTGCTGCCGATGTTGTTTCTGCTGCTGCCGTTTATTGAATCGTTGCTAACGCGCGTGTTCGTTCTGCTTCAGGGATGGTGTGCGAGTACCAGAAGCCTGCCGGGCTGAAGTCGTGATCGAGATCCGGGGGATGTGTCCAATCGGCGAAGTTGACGATGGCATCGCTGTCTGCAGTGCCCAGGTCTGGGACGAAATCAAGAACGAAGACGTTGTTCTTCAAAACTGCCCTTCCGATGTAGAGACCGCCCTTCCCGTGGTACAGCTTAAACTCCTGGGTGGTGCTGTCGGCTTCCAAGTGGATGCCTTTCGCCATCAGCTGGCTGACACTCAGTAAGTTATGGCCGAGTCCCTCCGCGATAAGTACCTTTGACATGTGCAGTATAACGTTTGTTTCTCGTGACTGAAGTTGTACTACTCCTTGTCGTCGTCTGCGCAGGTTCTGGTTGTTGGCGACCGTGATAACCACTTCTCGTTGGAGTCGATGTTCGCGTTGAACGAAGCGTCCTGAGGAGCACATATGTTGTCCGCAGCAACTGTCCAAGAACCAAGTGTCTTGTCCGGACGGTTCGCTTTGAGCGATGGCAGCGTACGTTGGGTTCGGCTGGAGTGACTCGCGGCGAGGCGTGCTGTTGTCGAGTTCTTCTTCCGGTGAGTAGTGAGGTGGTGACTCGGTTGTGCAGGAATCTGTTATCTTCACCATGCAGTTGACGATGTTTCTTGTTCCTTGTGCAGATTGTCCAGTTGAAGTCGTTGAAGCTTTGATTGAAGTTGTCGGATTTGCTTGCGTTGAGGCGACTTGGGAGCTTGAAGGTCGAAGTTGTCGCTGTGGTGTCGTCGATTGCTGTCGTGACGGGCAGTGCGTACGAGGATGACCCGAAGTCTTGCAGATGTGGCAGAACGGAGGTACTGTCTTCACTTGTTGTTGCCGATTGTTGTTGTTGTTGTATCGTCGCTGAGTGTGGAATGCAAACTCCGGTACTAATGTTTTCTTCTTGTGTCTTTCTTCTTGCAGGTCCATGTCCTGCTGCTCGGCATGAATTTCGGCGCAGAGTGCCGCTTCGGAGATTCTCCCGTGTGCTCGTAGTATGGCGCGAGTGGAGCGCCAGTGGGGGCCAAGACCGCCGATGACTACCGTGACGAAGGCGTCTTCTGAGATTGATCCTCCGCATCGAAGAAGCTTGTCGCGCACTTCGCGGCAGCGACTGATATAAGCCATGCCTTTCTCGCCTGGTTTCATTTCAATTGTTGTCAGCTGAGCCATTAACCGGCTTTGATTTACACTGTCTGTTGCTTGATACAGGTTCTTCAGGTGGTTGTACGCGAGCTCCGCGGAGTTGCCGTAGCCTCGGTAAGTTCTGATGTTCTGCTGTTGGGTCGGGGTGATGTTCCTCAACAGTATTGTGTACGCCATCATTGATTGATAGGTGTACTGCTGCTTCTCATACTGCGTGCCGTTTGTTGGATATGGCAGGGACCCGTCGAAGAAGCCAAGAATCGGTGCTCCTTCCATCATCAGCTCGAACTCGAACGACCAGGTGAAGAAATCTTTTCCGTCGAAAGGCTTTGTCGTTTGAAGTTTTAGGACATGCGCGAATTGCGATTGAACTTGTAATGCGTCCAGTGCTCTTTCTTGTCCCGGTGCAGATTGAGGTTGTGGCATGAAGCTGACGGAGCCGCGCTGGGGCTCGTACGGAGCGAAGGTAGGCTGTTGTTGTTGTTGTTGAATCCCGCGTGCGTAGGATGAGCCGTCGAGACTCATGGGTGTCACGTTGTTGTTGTTGCTGTTGTTTGACTGCGCAGGTACTCCTTGCTGATGCTGCTCGTAGAAGGACATGAAGGAGAAAAATTTCTCCATCATACTTGGATCGAAGCCCGCGGGTGTTTCCGTAGACCCAGCTGCTGGTCTCGTGGTTGTCCCTTCCTCTGTCTGTAGGCCAGAGACAGGAGGTGGAGTAGGGGTAGTGCCGGGAGAGCCGTTGGAGGAGCTCCTCTCCTTTCTAGCAGACATGTCTTCTTGTATTGAGTGTTAAAGGAAAGTAACTTTGAACTCTAACTTGCTCTCATACCATGTTGGGCTGAGGTGCTCTAGGATCTTTGTAGAGTTTAAGTCTGAGTAGGATGATGTAATAGCGGAAGCGTTAAATAAAGTCCTTGAACCACCTTGCGCTAGTATGTGAGGGCAAAGTAAATTGATTGAAACAAGCAAATACAAAGGTTTATATAAGAGTACAAGGAGTACGAATAGATATGATTAAATTGTTTTACTGTTGCGATTCGATACAGTGCGACTCGGGCAACTGCTCAATGTCGAGTCAGTTGTGTGTCCTTGCTGTCGCGCTGCATTTGTCAAGTCAAAGGTTGCTGACCTTTGACCTTCTCGTAACCTCCAGCGGTTACCCTAACCTCCGAGGGTTGACTCATTGCGCTTCGATTTGAGCTGCTTCGCTTGTGTCCTGAGTTTCGACACGACAGAGGCGTTTAAGACTTCTTGTTCCCAACAGAGGTGAAACTCACATTCTCGCCAAAACTCACTTTCTCGCCTCAAACTGTGATGTTAAAATGACCATTGAAACACCCAAATTGTCTAATAAAAAATGCTCTTACAATAGAATATGCCATATATAACCACCCGGGTATTATAAAGGATTTTCCGTTGAGAGGACCCCACCCCCCCCCCCCCCCCCCCCCCCCCCTTTTTTCTCTGTGGGTATCATAATACCCCCGGGTGCTATGTCCGGAAGAATACGGCATGTCCGCGTGCAAAAAAATGGGTTCGCGTCAGGCAAAGACAAACCATTTTCTACGTGCGGGCAGCACATTTGGGAAAAAACACAATTACGTAAAAAAGGTGTAAAGGCCCAATAAACACCCTGCAAGACACGCCCTTAGAAAGTGTTCACACACATTCATCTGTACATAGTTTGATTAGAAAACTTGCATTTCTACATGAGTTGGAGCTGAGTATAACTCTTAGGTATGTACCCATGGTGTGAACATGCATTTACGGTATTGCATAACTTGTAGGTATAACTCGCGTGCACCACATATTTACAAGCCCCAGCATTCAGGCAAAGCATCTAGGTATTTCTGGGCACGGTAAAGTCCCTGATCTATGGATGTATTCCTACAACCCCCAATGTGTACTAGTAACAAGACCAAGTACCATAGGTTATCCACACATTCCTCCATTTATCCATCCCAGCGTACGCATCTATTTCATGTTGCCTATTCCTCTGAACGGCACTGCCTCTCACGCACTGTCGCCACTCCCCCCTCTGTCTCCACCTGCTGGTTTAGATCTCCACACCACTCCACACATTTCATCCCCTCCAACCTCTGCCTCCTCCGCTGCAGCCCCTCTCCCCCCTCTGGTTGTTTCCTTATAAGCTGTTCCTGTAAGAGCAGCAACTGGCGGAGCTGTTCCAGCTGTGCAAGCTCGTCCTCGTCATTCCCTCCTGCACCCTCCCCTTGCAATGATTGCCCCGCCAGAGCGCCAGCCTCCTGCTGCTGGCCCAAGGAGGGCTGAGAAGTCAACAACTGCTGCTGCTTCTGCTGCTGCTGGTATGGTGGGATGGAGGCAGGTGGAACTGACTCCATATAACTATAGACTCCAAGAGATGGAACGGCAGCACCTGAAGGACCATGAGATGTAATTCCAACTCCAGCTGAAGCACCGTACTGTGGAGTAAGCAGAGGAGCAGCGGCAGCAGGAGTTGTAACAGCAGGCCCGGCAACCAGCGGAGGACTAACCAGTGCAGGCGTCACTGCGGAGGGCGTAGCCAGTGAAGGTATATCTAGGGCAGGCGTTACCCCAGCAAGAGCAGAGGCGAGTGCAGCGGCAAGAGGGCCATAGGTCAAATACGGAAGAGCAGAGGAGATTCCGGGTGTGGTCACAGCAGGCGAAATCACAGCAGGCAGAACAGCAGGCATCGTCACAGCAGGCGCAGTCAAGCCAAGGAGGTGTGAGGCTTCAGGCGGCAATTCCAAGGCACTGGAATCATGCCACGATCCGTCTCCTTCTCCCACTCCTCCCACTCCCACTGCTCCCACTCCTTCTACTGCTCCCACAGCTCGCACTGCTCCCTGGCCAACATTCAGTGGCCCCATAAATGCTGCTGCTTGATTGCTCTCTCCCTGTTGCTCACCCTGCCTCTGCTGCGCTCCACCCATGTCTGCCTGTGCTTGCTGCTCTGCCAACGCTAACAGCTGACTCAAAAACTGCTCCTGCCACTGCTGCTGTTGCTGAAGCTGCTGCTGCTGCTGCTGCTGCTGCTGCTGCTGCTGCTGCTGCTGCTGCTGCTGCTGCTGCTGCTGCTGCTGCTGCTGCTGCTGCTGCTGCTGCTGCTGCTGCTGCTGCTGCTGCTGCTGCTGCTGCTGCTGCTGCTGCTGCTGCTGCTGCTGCTGCTGCTGCTGCTGCTGCTGCTGCTGCTGCTGCTGCTGCTGCTGCTGCTGCTGCTGCTGCTGCTGCTGCTGCTGCTGCTGCTGCTGGTGTTGCTGATGTTGCTGTTGCTGTTGCTGCTGTTGCTGTTGCTGATGTTGCTGTTGCTGCTGTTGCTGATGCTGGTGTTGCTGCTGATGCTGCTGACGCCCATGCGGTCGCAGCCATGCCACATTCTCCCCACGGGTCCAAAGCACCGGCTCCGAACCTGCTGCTGACAGTGCTTGCAAGGAATCCCATGGCCCTGTTGCTTCCCTTGATATTTCCATTGGCTGCTGCTGCTGCTCCCGCCCTGCTCCTGCTACAGGCGGGGCTGACACCGTTCTATCCAATGTAATGCCAGACGTAACTCCAGGGGAGCGTACGGCAGATGTAATCCATGCAGCCAGCAAGGCAGGAGGTAATGCTCGCTGCTGACGAGCAGGTACTGGTGGAGAAAGGAGGGGCTGATGCTGAGAGGGATTGGTCACTGGTGGTACCAAAGCCACAGGCAAGGCCAAAGGGGAGGGCGGAACAGAAGCAGGATGGGCAGGAGCGAAGGAGGGACCGGTGGTAACCACACGAGGTGTTACAGGGTTACCGGACGCTGCTCCTGGGGGCCAAGAGTGGAGGACGAGAGATTGGAGGAGCTCGGGGGAGAGGGTGGAGAGGAAGGGGTCAGGGGCAGGATGAGGGAGGAGCGGATGGTGTGGTGGGGATGGGTTGGAGTGGGTGGACGGCTGCATGGGTGTCTGAATGGGCTTCCATGAGGGAGTGTGAGGAGGCAGGGATGTGGGAGTGCGGGGGAGAGATAAAGGCATGCGGTTGTGAGGTCTGCTGGTGACAGTCTTGCGTGGCCTGGGCCGGGTGAACCCTGACTGCTTGTGCCCCTGCATCTGCTGCCGCTGCTGCTGCTTTTGCTCTTGCCGATGAATCTGCTGAAACCCATGATGCTGCTTCTCCTGCTGATCTGCTTGCTGCTGTTGCTGCCACTGAAGCTGCTGCTCCTCTTGCTGCTGCAGGCACTGCAGTTGTCGATGCTGCTGCCGATGACGCTGCAGCAGCTGCAGCTGCTCTTGACGCTGGTTCTCCTGCTGTTGCATTCGCCACCGTTGTTGCTGCTGCATTTGATGCTGCTGTTGCTGAACCTGATACGGCCAAATGCTTTGTGCATCAATCTCCATCTGTTCGTCTGGCCACACTCCTTGACCCATGGATGCAAATGCACTCATAACATCAGGAGCACCCATTGCAGCAGGAACGGCAAGTGAAGGGCCAGAAGAAGCTCTGCTTCCAGTGCTGTGGAATACGCTAGGAGAGAGATAGTGCGTTCCAGGAACGAGCTGCTGCTGCTGCTGCTGCTGCTGCTGCTGCTGCTGCTGCTGCTGTGGGGGAAGCTCAGGTGACAGATGCAGCGGTGGTGCCTCTGCTGCGGCTTGAAGCTGCTGTGGCTGCTGCTGTGGAGGCAGCTTCTGCTGCTGCTTCCGCTGCTTCTGTGGCTGCATCTGCTCCTCCTGCTGCTGCTGTTGAAGCAGCTCCTCCAGTTGCTGCTCGTTGTTTACTTCAACGCATGGGTCACCTTGAAATTGTGGTTGCTGAGGCTGAGGCTGCTGCAGCAGACACTGCTGCTGGTTCTGCTGCTCTTGCTGAAGCTCCTGTTGGTGCAACAGCACAACTTGTTGCTGTTGCTCCTGCTGCGGCTCCTTCTTTTGCTGCTGCTCCTGCTGCGGCTCCTCCTTTTGCTGCTGCTGCAGCGCCATCTGTAGCCTCCGCTGCTGGCGCAGATGCAGGTCAGCCCGGGCTTGAGCCCCGGCCTTGTTCAGAAACACGTCTTCCAGCTTGCGCTCTGTCCATTGCACCAAGCACCATCAATGCAATGCAACGAGTCTGCACGATCAGGCCGCCACAACAACCAACGAGTATGCAAAGGGCAATGCCTCCCTCCACCGCGGAACAGGAGCATCAACAGGGGGATGGGGGGATGAGGTCTGGGAAGAAGAGAGAGCAGGAAGAAGGAAGAGTGGGAAGAAGGAAGAGCAGGAAGAAGGAAGAGCGGGAAGAAGGAAGAGCGGGAAGAAGGAAGAGCGGGACTGACCAGAAGTGACCAAAGATTGAAGGAGCTTTGGTCAAGCACACGTGCACACACACACAAAGGTGAGCGCATATATTCGAACTTAAGCTCGCGCACAACACCGAGCATGTCTCACCTTTCTTGTGCAGATTCATGTGCCCTCCAAGCGCCCGAGGAGAATTAAATCCCTTGCCGCAGAATCTGCACTCATGACCAGTATTTGACCCCCCTCGTCTCCAAAGCCCTCCACTGCCTGGCACTTTGCTGGTAGTTGACAGAGGAAATTTCTCCTCCTGCTGCTGCTGTTGTTGGCCCTGCTGCTGTTGTTGGCCCTGCTGCTGTTGTTGCTCCTGGTGCTGCTCCTGAGCTGGCAGCGGTAACACCCTTGTTGGCTGCTCCTCTTGGGCCTCAGACTGCTGCTCCTGCCGCACCATCCCTTCCGCGTCCTCTTCCCTACCTGTTGCTACTTCACCTCTTCCCCGCCCTTCACTAAAACTCCAACCTTGTGCCAGCGCTGCTCCTGCCAGTGCTGATCCTGCCAGCGCTGATCCTGCCAGCGCTGATCCTGCTACTGATGCTCCTGTGGGCGCCACCCCTGCCCCCTGTTCTTCCCAGTCGTCCCCTCCACTCCCACCCACCCCAAGAGCTCGTCTCAGAGTGGCTCCAAGCGTTGGCCAATCAGTTGCAGCCTTCCTCACCTCGTCCTCGCTGGGAAGCAACCGCTGCTGCTTCCTGGGGTTCCCACTTGGCCTAATTGTACCTCCACTTACCCAAGAACTTCTCTTAGAACCATCCGGCACAGGGTCCGTCCTCCTAGCCTCTGCCTCAAGCTGCTCTATGCTCATACCCCTCGCTCTCCTTCCCACTCCGGCCAAACTACCCCTAATCCTCTCCAAACCTCCAATTGCCCCCCATTCCAAGTCTTTTCCTCCTGCTGCTCCTTCTCCTCTGCCTCCTTCTCTTCCCCTTCCTCGTCCTCTTCCTCCTCCTTCCTGCTGGCTTTCCCTGGTTTCTGGAAGCTTCTCGAACTCCTCATGCGGTTGCAGCTGGGGCTTCTCACGCGCCTTCCTGCTACGACTGCTGCTTAAGCTACAGACCAGGTTACTCCGTGCAGTGCACTCCAGGGGACCATGGGGCGGACGCGCGGGTATATCCATTAAGAAGCGTGCTTGTGAGGGGGATACATTCTGTTCTGGCACATCCTGAAGTCCTGGCGATGACAAATCTTTAGCAGTGCAGGAGATGTCTCCAGGAAAGGAGAAACGCCCAGATGACGATTTCAGACGCGCTTCTGTGAGAAAAGGCTCGGACACAGGATCAGCAAGGTCAGCAGCGATATCAACTGATTGGGAGCCGACTTCTGCAGGCGTGAGGGAAGGCGGATCCGGGATTGGAACAGCACTGGGGACGGCCGGAGAAAGAGCAGCAGGTGCGGAATACGCTGAAGAATCCGCATGCTCATGTGTGGGGGACATGCTGAAAGTATACTCCTCGAGGGGTGGGTGGGGCCCGTATGAGAAGCTGATGCACGCGATGCGTTGCGCGGCGCGCTGCGAAGCGCATCAATCAGGAGATTAAACACAGATGCTCAACTCGCCTCAAAAAACCAACTTTGATCTCCTCCTTCCATAAGTCTTGAGAACGAGAAGCACGGAACTGAGTTTCAGGCGTCCTGTCGTGTGATCGTCTCGCTGCTTCGCTGCTGGTGAAGGAGGAGAGAGAAGATGCTTGCCCCATATGGTCGCTTGCGTCCTGACGCGAATTTCTGGTTGGTACTGTCGCAGCAACAGCTCATGCCTGAAGTCAAAACGAGAGACGGGAAACTGACTTGGCAACATCTCGAGATTGTGAAGTTGGGATCTTGTACACGAGTCGCACGGATCACGGAAACAGCGAACGGGCCAGGACAGAAACTTCGATCGAAACAGGGATCATCACGTGAAGGACGTCGGAGAGTGACCAGAAATAAATGGGGGAGTGCTCCCTGAACCTTAGGGAAAAGAAGGAACTCAGATCCGCAGACTAAGTCAGCCTTCTGAATCACAACTGGAACGAGAAAGCTGGCGATTTTTAGACCGGTACAAGGATATAGCAACTGTTAGTAAAATAATATGCAGTTGAAGAAAGATCGGAGTTTGGGGGTTGCACAGCGATTGATGGGGATTGATAAACTGTCAAGTGTACCCCCTGACGTTTCGTTCCCAGTTGAGAGCTTTGGAGACACGGCACCTCCTGATTGGCTGACGATTACCATGCACCAGTTCATCACCCAGCTGTATGTAGGATGATACCGCTGGATCTACCAAGGGCGATTCGAATGGCAAGCGTGAAACGAAGGTAAGAAACTTGGTGTGCCGACCCTTTTCGCTAGAAGACGTGGACCGAACATCCTTGATTGTAAAATCACGTAACTATGTGTGCCAAGAGCGAACTCATGATCGAAGTTCAATTCGCACGTGCCTGCCACAGGCCGGTTGCATGCAGACCCGGCCGCTTCTCGAGCGCTAAGGTCAAGGTTATGAAGGGTTTAAAGGTTTAAAGGTTTTTATAAGGTCGTGACCTTTTTACAAACATGCAACTAGAGAAGGATACAAGCAAAGCCTAGCTCCCCGTAGGGAGCACGTGTGAACACGTTATCCTCCTGCCTCAAGAGCAGAGATGTCCCAAGACCAATCTCTAGCTGACACGTGGTAAGGCTGTGGCGGGGGATCAAGGAGGGTGGAAAACGTCGTTGAGCAGCCAGGTATCGCGGAGCTCGGGATGGATGATTGGTTTGTCAGGTTCCGGGAACAGGAGTAAGCGATGAGAGTGAGCCAGCTTGGCAACTCTGGCAGCCTTGATTTTCTTCTTCTTAGAGCCGCTGGAGAGTTTCCAAATGAGAATCTTATAGGCAAGGAGGAAGTAGTGTAGCACTTGAAATAAGGCATCCCCTGTTTTGGTGACCGCTTGTCTATAGCGGAAGCTGCATCGCGCGTTCCAAATTGATTTCGCCGCTGCACCCACGAGTAGACTCCACGGGGCGCCTTGGCCAGCCGATGCCGCTAATGGGAAGAGGGTAAGTTCTGGAGAAGTTGTTACTCCTAAGTGGAGCTGGGCGGTGCGTTGCAGCGCTTCTATAATCGGTCTGGCGACTCCGCACTCAAACAGCAGATGCGGGAGAGTTTCGAGTTGTGCACTGTTGCAACCTGCGCAAACACCTTTGTCACGCGCAAAACTAAATCTGGATCCAGAAGGAAGAGCCAGCGCGTAGAGGCGGAAAAGTACATCTCGTTGAGACGAAGGTTGGTCTGAAAGGAAGGCATGTTTATAGTCAGGGAGTAGCGCAGGGCCGGGGCTGGGCAGCATATTGGCCCACTTGTACGGATGTGTCAGTTCCTGTTCGGCGTAGGAGAGATCGCGAATGGCTGCTAATGAGGGGATACCATCGGCCAGGAGAGGGAGACGGGCCGCCAGTCCAGCTCCAGAGCAAAAGGAACCCCCCAGCCACCTATCGAAGACGTGTATCG